TAATGTGTTATAAGTAAATGAAAGTATATAATTAAGGGTTTCACCCTAGAAGAAAACAATGGCTTTTGCTTACATGATATCGTAAAATATATCATTACTCAGTCTGGTTGATTCTTGATGTACTAGAACTAATGTAGTTGTTTTTAACTCTTCTAACATACTGTGGACAGTTGTAGGTGTTGTATTCTGATTTGAGGTCCAAGAAGAAAGTCACAGCCATGATTTTGTTATAGTAATAGTAGATAGTAGATACAAAAGTTAGTGTGTTAGTAAGTCATATCGAAAGGTTCAAGGTAAGTAGATTAAAGAAGTCATACCTATGACCTTAACCCCACTCACCAAATAAAACCACTTCTTATCGACTAAGCCAATTCATAGGTTACATGAGTTATCTCAGATTGTAGAGTGAATATACATTCACCCTTACAGTGTTCAAATCTTTTTTTAAAAAAATTTTTTTTTGTTTCTCTCTCTCGTATCTTATCATGATCTTTATTTCTTTACTATTAACATTTGAATCTCATTCTTACGAAAGACACATGCTTACTAATCATCATTCCGTACAGCTACAAGTTTCCAGAATAACTTTACACATATACTATATTTTGCTCTTTCAAAATCAATACTATAGAATAAGCGCAAGCATAAGTTACATTGTTCAAGATATGAATTCTGTATATTTTTAAACCAGGAACAATATTAACAATATGAAGCTTAATGCTTTAAAAAAAAAAAACAAATAATACAGATACAGCTTGTGCTTAATTGAGACTTGATTCTACTAAAAATTTCTACCACTGTGGCATAATGACAATTTCACAAGAGATGCCTTTATAAACTTTATAAATAACCTTATTTTTAATAATCATAAATTTTAATTGAGCAATTCACTAAAGAAATTGTATAAAGACTCACCATATTTTATAAATGCTAACTATCTGCTTTTCCTCTATCAGTAATGATAATGCATAAAGAATTATACAACAAAATGTGTAACAGGTTGATCGACAGAATTAAAAAAAATTTTTTACTTCAAAAATTTTAACTATAAACCTGCTCTTGGTGCTTTAAGAAAAAAATTCAGCTCATAATTTTGATATAGGTTTTATTTAAGTCCTTTTAACCTTTCTCAATTTAATTCTAACATAAGGATTTTAATGGTTTAACTCGACTTTAATGAGCAAAGTCGAATGAGCTAAAAGCAACTTTAACTTTAAATCCATTAATATTGGCAATTAGTTGTGACTAAAGATGCTATTACTATGAGAAATTAATTTTACTAATATCCTTAGTCATAACCTGTCAAACAAAATTGAATTAAATGGTTAATGAAAAATAAAGCTTATTACTTAAACTGTCAATTTAACTATGTATCTACTATGATTTAGACTACAATTCAATATAATTTGATAGCTTAATCACAGATCAATAATGAAATTTACAGGCAAATTTGCCTGAAAAATAGTTTAAGAAATAGAATTGATATCGAGTAATAAAATAATAATATAACTAACATTTATCTTAATAAAAGATGTAAGATTGTGGTTCAAAATAACTAGATAGTACAATAGCCACTTGATTTAACACTATGCAGTTAATTAAAAATTCGTCTTAAATAGCGATATTATTAAATATTTCTAAGGCCGTTTGAAATTACAATTTTGTTTTACATTCTTTCTCACTACCTCTAAGAGCTTTCCTATAAAATCAAACAAACCAATCAAAATGTCTGTTACATTTAATAACTCATAAATGCAAAATTTTTTTAAGATGTTATATAATGGTTGTTTAATTTGACCTACCCCCTACTATGCTTAAGCTTCGAAAGGAACATTAAATGAAATTATAATTTCAAGCAGCCTAACATTGTTTAGTATATACAGTACTAATAATGTTTAATAAGTTAAACACTACAGACAAGAAAGATACATACTATATTACCAATAAAAACAACCAAAATGTTGCAAAAAGTAAGAATTGGTTTAAGCCAAACTGAAGGGTTGCTTTTGTTTGGTAGTTGCTTCTAATTGGTAACAAACAGTACTAATTTAAATTTTTAAACCAGAAAATATGTATTTGATTGAGCAGTAATAATAATTATTGAAATAACATTCGATTAACAAGTATATATATAATTTCTTATTAATCAATATATCTATTTACAAAAAAAATGCCTGGTTCATTAAACCTTAATATGATATGCACAGTGTTTGCAATTGTAGCGATAGGAATTAAAGTATAATGTTTAACATATTTAAGAATTGCACATTTATAAAAATAGTGTTTGTTTATATCATATAGATATGCAAAGTCATACCAATAAACAAGAGCAAGTTCAAGTTTCTGATCTAATTTTGGCAAAGTAATCCGAATAATAAGAAGAACCTTAAAATCAATTAAAATATTGTTATTATGCTATTTTTATATTATAATTAAGTTCATATCTTTAATCAGTACTGATGCATACCTTTGCATAACACAACCCATAATTTGTTAAATAATCATCTTGTTCTAATTCGTCTATTTCAATATATATATTTGAAAAGGCTGCTTGATTATAATAATTTGGAGATGCATGGATGATCACTCTATTATCATTGTCCAAATAAGCAAAATCAAAGACTTCAATCCAGATAGTCTTATTTTTAATATCATGTGATGTCCAACTTTTGATACTTCGAAAATAATCGTAAATGCAATGCTCAAGCTGTTTAAAACCGTGTATCCATAAATCATCTGCATTTGATAACTGGTTTATGACTTGATCAATTGTATGTTGAGTCATCTGCTTTATAGCTTTTTTTGAAGTAATTCCATTATATGATCTATTGTTAGATCTTGACTTTGAGACAAAAGACATAAAGATGTTTTGACAAAACATCTTAAAAAAAATTTGTAACCAAATAAAATTAATTGTCCATTATTTGTAAATCATTACACCATATTATATTAATTGAAAATAATTCAACAGATAATTGTCTGCATTAAAAAAATAAAAAAATACTTACGATCACTTGCATTTGTGTGTTTATATAACATTTGTTTGTCATGCAGTATAGTTGCTTGACATTAGTTTTATGTAACACCTCATACATTTCAGTTGTAAATCCATTCATAGCTTCGAATTGATAAATTGATGGTATTAAATGAAATCGCCAGCTATGTAATTTTGGTAGGTTTAGGTTTGATGAAGAAAACTTAGACATTAACTTAATAAATAAGTCACTCTATGTGACAATTGAGTTCTGTAAAAAAAAAAAAAAAAAGAAATAAAATTAAAATAATAATAATGTATTATTTATTTTAGTAAGAACTTACTTCAAATTTGTCAAAATCAGATTTAGTAAATTTAGGCTGACAACTCCACATATATATATCGATCCAGAAATAATAAAGATTATATAAATTTTTATTGAGCTTTTTGTTGACAATTGACTCATCTAAGATAAATAATATTATTTTCATTAGATCTCTGTATTCTGCCACCATCAACTAATTAAATCTTTCAAATCCATTTTTAAAAACTTTGAGTTTTGGATATTGAGGAATTTTGACAAGACATTCTTTAAGAATCTTAGTTATACCATTGCCATATTTTAATTTTAATAACTCAACCATGAATCATAGTTGATATTGAAATAGTCCAAGGTCTGCATGGTGCATGCAATCGGGCACGCATATAGTATAAACATTAAAATATCTATTAAAAGAATTTGTTATTAATTAATATATATAAAAAAAAAGACCAAATTAACTAAAAAAAAAAAGTTTAGTGAAAAATTGATTTTTAAATTATAAAATCTATATTAAATCATAATATTTTATAATCTATATTGAGTAACAATAAAAATATAAACTTTAAAAAAATATACTATAAAATTTTATTAATAAAATAATATTTATTTCTTAATTTTGAATTAGTTATATTTAAAAAAAAACTATATTTTTTTTAAAAAATTATTGATTTTGTTTTTCCAGCATCTAGCCCATATGCTATTTTAATTTTGACATGTTATTTTACTTTAGATCTTTAGAATTACTTACGATCATTTCCATAAAGCATTTCTTATATAGTGTACTGAAATCTGTTTGCTGATGCTCTGATGCAAAGACTCTTTTGTTGTGTTTTTATTATAGATAATTATATATTTTTTTTTAAAATGAATATTATTTATTATATCATAATTAACTAGACAGGAGTGGCATGGATGTAAAGAGTTTGAGGATTCATAAGTAGTACACATTGCATATGCTTCAGGCCAATCTGAGATTATAACTGCCAAATACGGAAAAAACCATTTGAGACCACTATTGACATATAAATGAATACCATTATAACTTAAATACCTTAACAGTCTGAGCATTGCAGAAAGTGCATAGTGAAATAATCTGCATGCTGCTAGTCTGAATGAGGCTGATTTTTTTTTAGACTTGCTACAATAATTAAGACTTGAAATATAACCAAGTAAAATTTTGGCATCAACCTTGTTACGATGAGCCAAAAGAATATTTCCAAGTGTCATAAATATAGGATGCCTCAATGTCTTGCCTAAATGATCACAAAGATTAGCGTCTGAATAGAGAATGATTGGCATAACATGTGCCCTTAATGGAATATTTTGTTCAATGTTCCTCCACTAGTCAGAATCACACATATCTAAATACTGATGCTGACCTAATACTTTTAATTGTTAAGATAAAAAAAAAAATATTATTAAATAATAATAATAATAATAATAATAATACTAAAATAAATTTCAAATAATTAAATTAGGACAAGATAAAACCAGTGTTATGAATTAGTAAAATCCGCTACATAGATCACGTTAGAGTAAAATCTGTGTTTTTATTATAAAAAAGCAGATTTCATCCTCATGTGATCTACATAGCAGATTTTACGAATCTATACTATGGGTTTTACCTTGTCATATTAAATTTATTTACATTATCAAATGATGTCTTATATTTAAATATGAATTCTTCAGTGATACTCTTGTTAGTTAAGAGTTGGTGTATCCTATTAGCACTGTTCTAAACTTAAGCATATATTCCAGTCTTTTATACTTGAAAATAGTTTCTTTTCTCCAACCAAAGTTTGGAAGATTAAGATCCTCGATAAATGCCCATTCACTTTGTGATGTTGATGGTAATAGATGATCATCACGATTTGAATACTTGTTAAAAAATCATATAAAAGCATTTGCAAGTGAATCTTGTACATAGAACTGTGTTATTAGATGCATAAATTCTGCATATTTTTCTGACAGAAATTCTTGATATATATCTTCAGGACCTTTTGATTTTCCAGAATACAAATCATCATATTCAGCATATTCATTAAAGTCAACATCTGTAATGTCTAATAAATCTGATTGTACATCAGATGTATTGCTTTGAGAATCACTATGATCATTACTTTGAGAATTACTATGATCATTACTTTGAGAATCACTATGATCATTACTTTGAGAATCACTATAATCATTACTTTGTGAATCACTTTGATCAAAAAGTTCAATGACCTGTTTTTCAATAGATCTATCTGATGTATTGCTTTGAAAATCATTATAATTAAAAAATTCAATGTCCTGTGATTCATAATTTCGAATATCATTTATGTAATTAAAAGATAAGATGCTAGGATTTTGGTTTTCAACAAAGCTGTTTACATTAAAATTAATCTCTCCTAAACTGTTATCTAAGTTATATTTAAAACAATGTTGTTTATAATTCATATCTTTTTTTACAAATAAATTTTGGCTCTCAAGCTTGTTTTGATCATTAAGAACTCTGTTTGTTATTTCAACCAAATTGGTATGAATCACTTTATTTGGCAAAGATAAATCTTCATTACTATCATCCAAATGTTTTTTTATATGATTACCTAATGCTTGCTGATTTATAAAAACTTTCTTATAATATAAACATTTAGGCATCTTGAATAATTTATCACTGAAATGTAATTATTGAAATTTATTATTTATATATTATTGCGCAAGTTATAAACTACTTCAAATGTAATACTGGAACTTAATATCACACAATGTAAAATTTTTTTTTCTTTCCTATTTTATACTGAAATCATCTTTTAAAACAAACACTATTTTTGGCACCACTTGTGATTTGCAAAATATGTATTTTATTATTTTCATCTAAGATAAGAACTTAACTATAACAAGTAATAATTATTTGATTTGCCCAATTTAATTAATTATAGTGCAGATATTAAAATAAACTCTGCATGCATAAACTTGTCTAAATGATTATATAATTGCATAATTTATTATTGATTAATATAGGATCAGCAGTCACATGACCAAAATTACCCATGTGATAATCAATCTGAATCGGGATCAAAAGTCCTATATTCTAGAGATGGGCAAGTTTAGTAATATAATATTACTTATTATTTCTGATTATTTCTTATAGTTTTCTTGCATAATAAGTAAAATAAATAATTATTACTTATATTATTATCTTGCCCATCTCTAGTATACTTAAGGAAAAATTTATAATCAAATAATTATGTAGGGATTAGTATTGTATGAAAGTATATCAAAGTATAATAGTTAATTTGCATAAATGATGAGTAATCAATTAATTTAAAAGTCAAAATGGCATGTCGAATTGTGATATAATTGGTAATAGTCAAAATTTGTAAGCAAAGCGAAAATAAAAAAACCAAATATGACTCTTACTTTTGAAATAAGGATCTTCTAATAAAGTAAATATAGTATCGAGGGCTTTTTAGTAAGACAGTAGTAATTGGTAATATGAGTGAAATTTAGTATTATAAAGCTTATTAAAGTGAGTTTTGATTCATTTGTAACTTGTACTGCAGATACTTATCTTTGTTGCAAAGATGGGTTGCATTAGGAAAAAAGCTGTACCCATATGCAGAGGTGCACAACATACTTTACCTTCTATTGAACTTGCTGAAAAACAAACAAACACTCCAAGTATTTCAAGTTCTTCAAGCATTCTTAGTACTTCAAGCATTTCCAGTTTTATCCAAATGAGATCGAATACGTTGACTACCGAACATATAGTTATAGAAAGCTGCTTAGATGGGTCTGATAATAACAATAGTGATTTACATGATCCAGACATTTCAAGTGATAATAAGAATCTTATGAGTCCTATTGATGATGATATTTTAGAAAATGAGTCAACTCATTCAAATTTTAAGCGAAAAAATAAAGAAACAATAAATGAAAATGCAAATTTGTGGAAAAAAATCTGTAAGTTTATTTACCATTTGTTTTTTCTAATAATAATGATCAATTTATATTATTGTAAATACATTTCTATTTTTTAAGGTTGGCATCAATCATTACAAGTATGCATGATATGCAGCTTCAAATGTTTACTATTATTCAAGAAATGCAAACAAAAATTAACGAACTATATATAAACTTGAAAATCAGTTCTGAGAATAATATAGAAAAGGAGTCAAAGTGGATAGAGGTATAACAATTATTAAATATGCATGTGACTTTCATTAATATTAACCATTCGGATTGGTTTTAAATCCATGTTGACAGTGATATTTTAAAAATTTGTTTGTAGTTTTAATGAGGTTAATATTAATGATAACATGTAAAATCATGTGAACATAATAATAGCATCTGAATTTGTGTTACTTGATAAGTCAAAACATTTAAATTTGTATTAAGTGATATTTTAATTTCATATATAATATAATTTTCTATAATACTTTGTAATAAGATGCAATTGGTGAAGCGATTTATACTGCAATCGAAAAAACAAAGTATTCAACCAATGAACACTTGATGAAGATATATTATGATACATTATTGGATATAAAAGAGGTTGATTTCCAGAGTAAAATAAAATATTGTGGTTGGAAACACTATTTTAACAAGAATATTTGTTCTCTTGTAAGTACCTTGTAATAAGAAATTTTAATTATTTAGTTAATTAATCTTATCTGCTTTGATTAGGCTCAGCAGTTTTGTCATCAAGGAAGAAGTAACTTAGTCCAATGAATTAAGGATACTATTCACAGTGAATTTTCAGATCTTATAAAACCAAAAACAGGAAATCAACAGGTTACGCATAAAGAAGAATGAAAGTTCAAAGAAGCTGATATTACAAAAGAGTTTTATTTGAAACTTAACCAACCTGTTAATGCTAATAATGATCCGCATTACAATTATCTTAATTTGATAATTGATCGTACCTTTGCAGATCCGAATACTGAAAAAAATTCTATTGCATTTGGAATGGCTGTTGCTTTAAACTATTTTGATCCTTCAAAAGGAATTAGCATGGTTTCAAGTAAAGTTGCAGAACGCATGAATCACATTCTTGAAAAAATGCAAGTCCCAGATCGCGAAGAATTATAGTGAAAATTTATAAAATGTGACTGTTTTATCTCATATTAGCACAATGAACCATTGCATATTTGTGATATAAAAAATTACACAGATTAGCAGAATACTTATAGTACTAGTTCAATAAATTTTCTGCTTTAGCA